TTTTTTCTTTTTGCTTATGTGGTGCTGAGGAATCGAACCCAGGGCCTCATGCATGCAAGGCAAGTGCTCTACCACTGAGCCACCTTCCCAGCCCTGAAGTGCTAGCGTTTCTGAAAGTGGTGAGGCTTATTAAAATTGAATAACCATACAGAGTTGTAATTAAACCCAAATGGATTTTAGAAAAGAAGAAATTTCATCATCTTACATATTTTAGATTAAAAATGCTGACCAGAAACAATGTAAAATAGCCAGTAACCTTGGAATTTTATTTTACTGTTGATATTGACTTTGTTATATTCTTTTTTCCCCATTGGGAAGGAACATCTTTATTTCTTAGATATATGGAGCACGTAGGGGTATGTTCTCAATGCAGAGGAAATCAGCACCAGGGCTTGGACTTACTGGGATATCATATCATTCTCAATGATAGCTCTGTACGCATGCTTGATAGCTGAAAACACAAACTTGCAGCTTAGCTTTTTATCAGGTTTTATCTTATTCTTTTTTTTATCAATGGGTTGCCAGTTCCTGAGCTCTGAGATATCTTAAATGAAACTTGGAAGAACAAAAAGTTTTAAATTATGGCAGTTTTCTGATAATTTGTCCCAAAAGAACATTTTATCTTACCAATATTTAATCATGTTTTCCTCAGCCCTATACTTGTATCATTATAAAAGTTGAATTCTTATCTTTATTCCATTTCTCAGTTGACGAAGGATCAGAGGTTGGTGTATTCTGGCAGGCTGCTTCCTGACCACCTGCAGCTGAAGGACATTCTCAGAAAAGTAAGCATCCTGCCACCCTTTGAAACCAGACACATTGAAGACTGTGAGAAGTTGTTTCTGAAGCTTTATCTAAACAATTCAGGTTTTACTTAAAATCAGCCCTTTGGGTAATATCACAAGCAAAATAATGTTCGAAAATAACCACTGTGGTAGGTTCTTCTGAGTTTGGGTAACTGTTTTTTTGTATTTCCCTGGTGGGGAGTGTGAAGGAGGATTGTGTGTTTGTGTTAAGGTATTTGGCTTACCTATTAATGAGGCATAAGCGGAGTGCTGAGTAGTGATGAAACATTATCAAATGGCAGCACATTTAAGCACAAATTATTTGTGTTCTGAACTTGATTTGGGAAGAAGAAATAGAATGAAATTATCTAGTTCTGAATGCTGATATTACCATAGCTTTTTTATAGTTTTTGTGTCCTGCTAATTTTATTAACAGCATGTAGCTAATGGTCCCCCCAAGAAACTTATACTTTTAGGGCTTTTCAATATGTAGGTGACTATATGCTTTTTATTAGCATCAGTTAGTTGTACAAGGGTGTTTGATATATCTATATCTGCACATAATTTACCTTCCTTAGTGTATTTAATTCTCAATGTTGTTGTAGATATCCTGATCTGATTTAGAAGGTCTGTGTTTTATTCTGCATACCTGTGAGAAGCTTTAAAAAGAATTGAATGTCAGTGTGTCCCTTCTGCTGTGATAGTTGATGGCTTAGTTCTGCCCATGTGACTCTGCCCAGTTGTAGGTCAAGTTGCTCCCCCAGTAGACTTCAGTTGGTAGAGATGTTTGAGGTTTATAGCAAAACTGAATGGAAGGTGTAAAGATTCCTCATGCATCCTTTGAGCTCACATGTGCACATTGACATAAGATGCTGCAGTGGTACATTCACTGCAGTTCATCAGCCCACATGGATACATTGTCACTCCAAGTCCATAGTTCTCCTTAGGCTCACTCTGTTCTCTGGGCTTGAGCAATGTGCAGAGAATTACAGGGTCATCTAGAGTAGTCCCAAACATTTCTGTCTTCCACCCACTCGCTTTTCCCTGTTTTTATGTTTAAAACCTCTGTGCTATCTGCTGTTTGAAATACACATGCATTTGTTATTTTATTTCAAGGATAGCTTGGTCTTGAAATGAATACTTTTTAAAAGACTTTTATTTGGAGAAATGGTTTCAGACTAAACAACTTGAAAAACTCCATGAAAGAACTCTTATGCTTATTTGGGCATTTTAAGCAGTGTGTGTACATTCTGAACAGCTTTTTGGACTGTTTTGTCAAAGCCCATGTATCTTTTTTCTTAGTGAAATGCTGCCATTGCTTTACCTGGTCTGTTTTAAAACGTTTGTAGAAACCTTCCTGAAGGGAAGTGGATCTGTCAGTGAACTGTGACTGTAGAACTAGATGTCTAAAGGATAAGTAAGCGCCTTGTGCTGGGGTAGGAAAGCATTCTGGTGCTGTGTACACAAGCCAAGGGGACATTGGCTGTCAGGAGCCCTACCCCACTCTGGCCAACCATAGGTCTGTTAGGTTCTCTCTGTAGAGCCTTGCCCAGTGCTCTTTTATAGCACTTGTACTTCTCGTACCTCTCAGTTTATACCAAAGACAGTATTGTATGTTGCTCTCTTAGCAGGATCACCACTAGAATTAAGCACCACTCTGAGTTCGTGGGAGGCCGTGAGAATCAAGTCTGAGTTCTCAGTAGTTTTCTGCTCTTCCTCAGGACAGGACGTCTTCCCTTGCTTCCTGCCCCATTTTCTTATCATTCTATTGGTGTCATCTTCTTGCCCTTTTAGAAATGCTGGCTCCTCATCTTTCACTGCTTGCTTGCTTTTTCCCTCTTACTTAAGAGCCTTAGGTCTAAGTGCGTATGTGTGTGTGTGTGCCATCTTGTGAAAGTAAAATGTCAGCTGTAATCATTGCTTAGCACATTTTCCTTCAGTCATGGTTATAGGTTTGTTGAGACAGAATATTTACAGAATACACTTCATATATATGCTTCATGTTCATGTGTAGATGTTGTAGATAAAGTTTGACTTAAGAGAAACAGTAAAATCTAGCCTACACCTTGCTAAAATTAAGGCAAATTAGATAGTTTCTTTTATCAGTGCTAGCTATCAAGTATTAAACATTTTCATTATTCAAAGTTTATGAACCTAAACTTAAAGATGACTTTTGGCCTTCTGAGCTTAAGTTGCTCAATGTTTAAAAAAATAGGTTGTATGACAGCACTGTAACATTACAGGATTGTTTGCTTCAAGACTATTTGATAGGCAAAGTCACAATTTTAATATGACAGTTACTGAGTATTTAGACCATTTTCTAAGTAGAGAGAAAAAAAATTGCGAATTCGACAGGCCTCTCAAGAGTTAAAATGGCAAACTTGCCCTCAACGAATAACTATTTAAACTGGGTAGGCTAGAAAGGAGCTTAAGTTTTGAGTTACATGGTTCAGCTTAGTTTCTAACTTCTGTGAATTGTAAAATTCCCAGCGCTGCCCTTTGATGCGATTTTCTTTACTTTCAGCAAGATGAGTATCACATGGTTCACCTGGTATGCACCTCTCGGACTCCTCCCACTTCTCCAAAACCCAGTCCCAGCCAAGAAAGTCCGGAAACACTGGCATCCAGCAGCAGTTCTGTGAGTTGTTTCCGGAGGAAGTTTTTCTGATTCTAAAAGTAAATAGAGGCTGGGGTGAATTCAGTGGCCCTATTCTACTGCTTAGCATGGGAGAAGCTGGTTCGATTCCCAGCACTGCCAGAGACAAACTGGCAAAGCTAAATGGAAAATGGAACTGGTGGAACTTGGGGGTTTTGAGATTGCATTTTGAACAACTAGAGTAAAGCATTAATTTTGTTTTTTGTTTTTTTGGTCCTGGGGCTTGAACTCAGGGCTTGGGCACTGTCCTTGGGCATCTTTTGCTCAAGGCTGGAGTCATATCTACACTTCTGGCTTTTTTTTTTAGTTTAATGGAGATAAAAGCCTCAGAGGCTTCAGCTAGTGCTGGCTTCAAACAACAATCCTCAGGTTTCAGCCTCCTGAGTAGCTAGGATTACCGGTGTAAGCCATCACTGTCTGGATGAATTTTTGTTTTAAATGTTTAATATACAAGGTTATCTTGTGGGCACTTTTTTGGTTGGGTGTTTTTTTTTGTTTTTTGGATTTTTTTTTGCATATGTGTGTGTGTCCTACTCTATGGTTTGAACTTAGAGACTGGGCACTGTCCCTGAGCTTTTGTATTCGAGACTAGCATTGTACTACTTGATCTACAGCTCTGCTTCCACACAAGGCCATCTTGAAGTCTGTTTATCATAAGTTATAATTTGCGGAGTGGCAGATTAGCAATACAGCCAGTTTCCACAGGATTCATTACTGAAGTACTCAGAAGACAGGATTATGATATGCATGTATAATATAATGTAGGGTTTCAGACCAGTGAAATGTTTTATTTATATAGTATGTTTAACCAACATGTTTTATTGATATAGATTATATGTTTTATATAGTATGTTGTGTATAGTATATATAGTAGTAGTATGTAAAGTATGTTAAATATACAGTATGATGTATCCAAGGTGGATTAAATTATGTAAATGCTAAGTTTTCCAAGCATTCTTAAAGTTGATTACTTGCTCAAAGGCTTCTTTTGTGTAATCACTGCAGTTGGGCAAGGGGAAGAATTAATTATCAGTGCACTTACCTTTTCAGCGCTTGAATGTTCATCTTTTCCTTGCTTTATTTGTCTAAAATTGTTTTAGACATTTCCTGTACTGGTTGAACTTTTTTGTGTGTGGTTATGAGGCTTGAACTTGGGGCGTGGGGGCTGTCCCTGAACTCTTATTTTTTTGCTCAAGGCTAATGCTCTAGTGTACTTTGAGCCACAGCTCCACTTCTGGTTTTCTGGTGGTTAATTGGAGACATAAGTCTCATGGACTTTCCTGCCCAGGCTGGCTTGCACTGCAATTCTTAGATCTCAGCCTCCTGAGTAGCTAGGATTACAGGCGTGAGTCATTGGTGCCTGGCTCAGTCTCTATATTTTAAAGACATCAACCTCAATCTTTTTATGTTACTTTTTTTTCCATTAAGTTTTTACATGACAAATTTGGAGGTGGCAGGATTGGGAGTAGTAGAAACTTGTTTTAAATTTCTTGGAAACACAGGGAACTTTCATTATAAGTATGCTTTCCTTCTTGCCCGGAATCTACATCAAAACTAAGGAAGGATAAGAAGCAGGAATGCTTACTAGTTGAAAGATCTTTCAATAGTTACTTCCAGTAGTTTCTTCGAGAAACCTGATTCTCATGCTTTCCTAGCTATTTGTGGGGTAGAGTTCTGGGGATAGGTGTTCAAAGCCAGTGAGTGAGACTCCTATCTTTTTTTCTGGCAAAAAGCCAGAAGTGAGCTGTGACTCAAGTGATAGAGCACCAACCTTGAACAAAAGAGCTCAGAGACAGTGCCCAGGCACTGAGTTCTCCAATGTTTGTGCACAAACGTGCACTCACGCACATGGAAAACCTGATCCTCCCATTACTGTATTTAATCAGAATAGCCTACTGCTAAATATTTAGAACCAGGAGCAGAACTTTAGCTCCAGCAACTGAAGCATGTTTTGTGTGTTTCCTACCTTGACATGAGTATGTTCAGATACTGAATTGGCATAAAGATTTGTGTGTTGCATTTGGACTTGACCTGATGGATTTGCCTAGTGTCCCTTGGCTATGACTTGTGTCATTAGCACATGTGCTTACTTTGTTCAGTGTTGTGAAAATCTGAACAATATCAAAGAAAATTTAAGTTCAATTCCATTAGAACTTTCATAGCTCAGAGGGATTTGAAATTGTTGCCTAATGTTACCTAATAAGGAAGTTACCTAATAAGACCAGAAATCAGTTGTAGGGAAACCAGACTGTGCACAGCCTGGTAGTCAGCTTTTCTTCTATAAATCATGTTAATGTGTTCCGTATTGTGATGCTCTGTTTACTACGATAGCCTGCCCTAAAACAGTGTTTCCCAGCTTATATTCTGGAGATTTAGACTCTTTAGCAAGATTTTTTTTTTTTTTTTGGTCAGTCATGGTGCTTAAACTCTGGGCCTGGGCACTGTCACTGCATTTTCAGCTCAAGGCTAGTGCTCTGCCACTTGAGCCACAGCACCACCTCCAGTTTTCTGGTGGTTAATTGGAGATAAAAGTTTCACAGACATTCCTGTCTGAGCTGGCTTTGAACTGTGACCCTCAGAGCTCAGCCTCCTGAGTAGCTAGGATTACAGGCATCAGCCAAAAGCCACTTGTGCCTGGCTTTTAGCAAGATTTTTGATTTCTTTTTTGTGTAAAGTCACATCTTACAGAAAACTTTTGTTAGTTTTTCAAGAGCCTCTACTGGGCTTTTTACCCAGCAGGACTTAGTAAAGAGACGTCCTATCATGCAGAAAATAGAAAGCAGTGTAGGTAAAATATAGTCTAAATGAAATTACAGAGATGTTACAATAATATTGCACCAGCTTTTGAAAGAGGGGACTAAAATGTCTATAAAATGTAATTATGTTTTACATTTATTTGTATTTATTTATATTTATTTGTAAGCCAAAGTTCATCTTACTCATAGCTTGAGTTAGCACCCAGTAACCCCTACAGCAGATTTCTGCCAGAACAATGAGTCTAACCTCTTTATCCCTTAGGTTTAAGGCTTCCGCTCCTGACTTGTTTGCTAATGCCCTGTTCTTCTGCTGCTCTGCAGATGTTAGGACCAACATAAACATCTTCTAACAGCAACACTTTGGTCTTCCAGGAGTTAAATGGTTTGCTAGTGAATCCTGAGTTGTTGATGTCCTTGGAACAGAGAATTTAAAAAAAAAATCTGATTTGTTCACTTCATAATAACTTTGTTGATGATACCTGTCTACTAAAATTTAGTGCCAAAAGGAATCTTAGTTCCATCTCCTTTTCTCCAGGAAAGCAGATGGGAGGTAGAATGAGCCTTCTTGCTTAGATTCTTTTTACTGTCAGAGGTGAGAGTGACATCTTCTAGATGTCTGGATTCTAGATCTTCCAACTCCGGTCACGTTCCTCAGTGTGTTTACCCAGGGTTACTGCGAGCATGTCACATAGTTCCTGGCCTGGAGCGACTGTTTCAATGACTCCATGATGAGTAACACTTTTATGTTAGGCATCATGAAAGGTGTAATTTAATAGTACAGCTTATCCTGCAATTTCTGTATGATGCTCTTGTTACCTTGTCTGGTAGATAATGAAGTGTTACTTAATAAAGCAGTTTTGATTTTCTCACCTTCCCCTCCCGCCCCAATATTGGGGATTGAATTCAGGGCTTGACATTTTAGGCAGGTACTCCTTTTTATTTTTGTTTTGTTTATTTTTTATTTTTAAGATAGGTTTCATGTTTTGGTCCAGGTTGGCCTGGACTGTGATCCTCTAATTCCCCACCTTCTGACTAGCTGGGATTATATCACTGCCATGCCTACCTTTTTTTGTTGTTGTTGTTCAGTCATGGGGCTTGAACTCTGGACCTTGGTGCTGTCCCTCAGCTCTTCAGCTCAAGGCTAATACCCTACCACTTGAGCCACAGCATCACTTCTGGTTTTTGGTTTATTGGAGATAAGAGTCTCGACTTTCCTGCCCAGGCTAGCTTTGAACCATGATCCTCAGATCTCAGCCTCCTGAATAGCTAGGATTACAGGCGTGAGCCACCATTGCCTGGCTTGCCTACCTTTTTTTGAAGTGTGTGGGTGGGGGAGGAGGGGAATAGACTGTCACTAACTTTTGTCTGCACTGCCGTTCTCCTATTTTTGCCTCCTGAGAAGCTGAGATTATAAGTGTAGGCTACCATGCCTAGCCTGATTTTCTGATCTTTTCAGTCATGTTGAAATTTAAGTACCTATCATATTGAACATAAGATTCAAATAAGTTTCTGAAATTCAGAGGTTTTATGTATGCCACTGATATCATGATTGTAATGAGTTAAATCTTGAAAAGATAATGACATTTTTGTTTGTAGAATTCAGATCATTCTGGATCAACACCATCATCGTCCAGTCAGGAAACATTGTCTCTCACTGCTGCCGCCGCCACTGCCAGCTCGCCTCCAGAAGGACTGAGGCAGCGAGTCCTTGCACAAACACAGACTGATCCCGCGCAGAGTCCTCAGTTTCCCTATATGATGCAAGGGTGGGTGGATCTGGGCTTTCTCTGGGGCGGGGATGGGCGGGGTGGAGGTGTGGTTGAAAGTCAGCTGTCTTGGAGTTTACCATAGGATCTTTGAATTTACTTTGAAATTTAGCTTTTGCAGTTTGAGAATTAGAGGGCTGAGTAGGGCAGCCCTTCCCATAGCAGGTCGAGCCTCGGAGGCATCTAGCATACTTGCCAGTCTAAGGCAAGTAGTTGTCTGGGACCCTGGCAATGTACTAGGGCCCGTGGGTCTGAGTTTCTGCATCTCACAGACAGGTGCCCTGTCTTGCTGATGTTGGACCACACTTGGAATCACACACATCTAAGTAACTAGTTGTTTTTTAAAACTCAGTCCTGCTATAGAGCACGGTGTGGCCTTCTGGAAAGCAGGGTGTAGGAGGTGAGCCCTAGGACTCCTTAGGGATCTCTGATGAGCTGGGCTTGGTGGGGACTTGAATGGTGGTCAGGACAGGCCACTGAGTAGTGCCCAGGTCCTGTGTGCCCACCCCGAGCACTGCAGCCGAGGTTTCTGCAAGTGTTGTCTGAATTTTGGCATCAAATATGTTGATTGCTTTTGTTGTTGTTGTTATTTTCATTTATTATATTAGGAAAGTCTTTTTCCATCCAAAGATTTGGTAAATAATTCTAGTTTCTTCTTGATTATCTGTAGCTTAACTCCTAATGCTTTATTTAATCTAGTTAAAATTTATTTGAATATATGGAATAAGGTGAAGCTACTACTCTCCCTACCAATTTGGGGATCATCTTTCCTGGCACCAAATATTCCTTCCCTGTTCATCCTTCAGAATGCATTATGTTGTCATGTGATATGTTCCCCTGATTTGTCTATTTCTGTGTATTTTAATAATTAGTTTGTAAGTCAATATCCAGCAAATCCTTTGTGGTTTCTGGAGAGTGCTCAGGGCAGAGCACCCTGTCTGAAGGACAGCAGAGACTTGGGGCAGGTCAGCCTGGTCTGCAGGGTGCTTTATCCCTGATTTGGCCCAGTAGTTTTTCACTTCTGGGAGAAAAGGGAGGAAGTGGATGGGTCAGAACCACCTGGGGCAGCTCTTCTATCGTCAGTGACTTACATTCTGGACTGAAGTGCTTTGAGGCGGGAAGCCATAGAACTTTTAAAAGTGATTATCCATGGCTTCTCTTCCCTTGACTTCACAGCCTTCCCCCTTTGCAGATGACATGATAGATTGTATGAGGTTTTTGTGGGGGGCGGTGATCCATAGGGTCTACTTCTAGGTGGAAGTGTTTTTTCCTAGTCACGAATACTAACAAAATTTAAAATAGACTCCTGGATTATCTTCTTTCTGTTAATACCTGACTTAAAAAGTTTTCAGATTTCTTTAAAGATGCTTTAGCCACTCTGGAGGAGTCCTCTCTGCTTGTCCTTTGTTGAGTATGTGAGAGAGCTTGGTTGTAGCAGAGTTGTGCTCAGGAGGCAGAAGGGTTTGGAGGAGAGAGCACCCTGTAATAGGTGATGCTTAGGTGCCTTGTGTGGAGTGTTGAAAATACCTGCTGTTGCCTTACTGTAGCACCACCACATTGGTGTCCGGGCTGTGTTGCCACAGTTGTCCTGATGCATGTGAATTTCTGCACACACCTAGGAGCCATGGTCAGAGGGAGGGCCTGGGGGAACTAGATGTAAACTGCTAACACTGTTGACCACAGATAGCATGAAGTTAGATGAAGCTTCATCAGAGCTGTACCAATTGAATAGAATTTTAGTCTGCTTTCAAAGGTGTGCATAAACATGTCTTGCTACTCTTACCTACAGATTTTTGAAATATTTATTTTTATTTTATGACTATTTAGCTATTAAACTTTTAATATTTGATTACTAATGTCATTTGGCTAGCTCCTTTTCTCAAAACATTTGGTCATGAGGTTTTTCTTGGGACTTGGGACCTTATGGAGAATGAAAGTGTATAGGGTTTTCTAAGAAGTGGACAGGACAGGAGAAGGGCAGGAAAGGAGTGGGAGAGGGAAGAAAGGGAGAGAGAGACTTCCTGCGCTCTTGGTACACACCCTGCTCTGTCTACTATATATGGAGACCAGGGCTAACTTAGATTAAAAATGCTGTCTTACTCCAGGAAGTTTGAAAGTAATCATTGTTCCTTTCAGTAAGTTAAAAAAACATTCTGTTAGAGTGGGCTAGTTAAAAAACGAAAACGTTGAGCAAAGCTTACCCCTTGGGAGGCACTGAACATCCTCCTTCATTCTCCCCTGCAGGAATGTGGACAACCAGCTTCCTGGGCAAGCTGCCCCTGCAGGGCTCCCAGCCTACCCTGCCTTCAGCCCCCTGCACATGCTGTGGTGGCACCAGCTGTACGCGCGCCACTACTACCTGCACTAGTGAGTCCTAGGGGCCCACGGGGGCTATGAGGGATGCATAGGGGTCTGCCAGGGGACTTGGGCACCCTGGGCAGTTGGCTCAGTGAACCCTCTTCAGTTACGTGGCTAAAGGAAATGTGCCCATAACTACTTTATGTCCACTAGTGCTGCTCCCCCTGGCATAGTTACAGTTGTGTAAACTTGAGGCAGGCCTAGAGTTCTACTGCAAGGCAGCCGATGAATGGAAGAGGAGAGGAGGGACCCCAAGAGTCCCCACGGAGCAGGGAGGGATAACACCAAGTGCCCCGCCAGCTCTGTGGGCCCGGACATTCTGCACACTGACCAGGATGACCTCTTTGGTCATCCCCCTGAAGATCTTTCCCCATCCTTCATATCTAGTTCACCTGTCTCTCTCTGATCACTACATTTTTACTAAACACAGCAATCCCTGCTCGATGCCTTCCCATCTCTCACTTTCACCGTGGGCACAGACCCCGGTGCACCCCCCAGACATGCTCTGACAGACTCATCTGCTATGGTCATACTGCTTGCTGCCTTCACCTTCCTGGCTTTGTCCTGGGTCTCTGCTCAGTTCTTGGAACCCTTTCCACAAATGCACTGCACCAAACGTGGCTTCTTCAGTCTACCAAGCACTTCTCTGTCCTGTTCTTTGCCAGTGACACCCCTCCCTCAACTGCTAGGTCTGCTCTTGACTTTGTCAGCTTAGGTTCTGGCTCTTGATAGCTTTGAACTCAGGAGCTTCCAAAGGTGAGACCACAGAGCTGCCATTCATTCTGTGTCCTTCCAGAATTTTTCCTGTATCTTTCTCACTTTTAGTCCATGTTGCTTCAGTAGCATTCTCTCACTACCAGCCAGCTAACCTAAACTGGTAGCTAACGCGTGCGTTCTCTCTCTCTCTCTCTCTGCTGGCTTAAACACACACACTCATGGCTAAGAACGTCTCCATCCCCAGTCCTTCCCATCTACAGTGAAGGCTAAATCCTTCTCCTTCTCCAGTCCTTCCTATCCACTGTGAAGGGTAAATCCTTCTCTTTCTCCATGGTGAAGGCTAAGTCCTTCTCCTTCTCGAGTTCTTCCCATTGACAGCGAAGGCTAAGTCCTTCTCCATCCCCAGTCCTTCCCATCCATGGTGAAGGCTAAGTCCTTCTCCATCCCCAGTTCTTCCCATCCATGGTGAAGGCTAAGTCCTTCTCCATCCCCGGTTCTTCCCATCCATGGTGAAGGCTAAGTCTTTCTCCTTCCCCAGTCCTTCCCATCCATGGTGAAGGCTAAGTCTTTCTCCTTCCCCAGTCCTTCCCATCCATGGTGAAGGCTAAGTCCTTCTCCTTCTCCAGTTCTTCCCATCCATGGTGAAGGCTAAGTCCTTCTTTTCCAATCCTCTTGTCCATGATGAAGGCTAAGTCCTTCCTTCCTCAGTCCTTATAAAGCTAGCCTGCTTGGGGACTGCATGTGTTCATGTGCTCACTCTCAAAAGCACTGATTCAACAGCCTGTGACCTTATCTGTCACCATGGTAACACACATGATTTCCACTATTTGAGTGACTGCTTTGTGTTTAGACTTCTGCTGGATGCTTTCCATCTTTTGTCCCATTCCTAACCATTGTGAGGCCATGTAAGAGCTTATGGTGATTTCCTGCTAAGTCTTGAAGTCTTACATGGACTAAATCTTGCAGTATTATGTGGACTTGTAGTCTTTTGTACATCATTTAATTTCTGAGCATCAGGCTCTCCCCCAGGTTTCAGAGTAGCCGGGGGACACTAGAATCCCTGTGTGGACACAAGGCTTAGCGTAGACCTGGGAAACACTGCTTTGTGTTCTATGCTATTTCGATAAACATTAATTATAGAAAAGTTTATATGTATATAGCAATGTGTAGTAGTAACACTAATCCTGGTCTGAATCATGTGCCTATTCATAAAATTACATACTCCACAGCTAGTCCCCTCCCACTGGGTAATTTAAAGCAAATCCCAGCTAGATTATTAACATTTTGCTGGGAACTTCATAAAAGGAAAATTTGTTTTGACTTTTAAGTGATCACATTATAATAATCAGGACCACAATTTTTTTTTAAGTTGACAAGGACTAAGTGGTTCCCAAGTGGAGTGCTCAAAAACTCCACTTGAGGATTGGCTAATTGAGATATGTTTACTACTTTAAATATGAGTCTAAATCATCTGTTACTGATAATAGATACAGACCAGTCTTTCAGAACCTGGGTCTGAGAGAAAGTAGGTGATCTTGGGGTGTCACCCCATATGACATGGCAGCAGTAGCAATGGTTATAAAGTCTCTCCTGCCAAAGGGCAGGTAGAGGGGCATCATAACTTCCAAGGCTACACGCCGGTGGGAAGTGGGTATGTGTTTTGTTATAGACCACATGATTTTGCAGGCCTTACACAGCACACAGGCCCAGTGTTCTCACCCCTGGGCGGGGGCTGAAGGAGAGAGAAGAGTGTGCATGTGGCTGTTCTTATTCCCTTCTTGCCCCATCATCCTGCACACAGGCTGGGGTACTCTCTTTTCTGAGCCAGCCTATGGCTGTTGTTCCATACCTTCTGTCCTCCTCTCTATCCAGGCAAGAGGACACCTGAGCTGTCCGCCCCTTAGTCCTGACTGCACTTTTCAACTGGAATTCTTGCTTGCTTAAGAAATGTGGGCAGGAGTCAGGATATCCCATGTTAGCTTTACAAAAAATACTCGACTCCCCAGAGGTTTTTTTAAAAACAAGAGATGGTAAATAAAATATTTTTAATGTTCTTTTTGGTGAACTTTTCAGTCAAGCTGCAATTTCTGCTCAGGCCACATCTAATGCCAGCCCAGTCCAGCCCACTGCATCGCCGCCTCTCAACCTGGCCCATGGTCCTGGAGAGGAGCCCCCGCCAGCTGCAAACCTGGGGGCCCAGGATGATCGCCCCATGAATGAGAACATGCAGATGAATGCGCAGGGTGGCCCTGTGCTGAATGAGGATGACTTCAACCGGGACTGGCTAGATTGGGTGTACACCTTCTCTCGGGCCGCCATCCTGCTCAGCGTTGTGTACTTCTATTCTTCCTTTAGCCGGTTCATCGTGGTCATGGGCGCCATGCTGCTAGTTTATTTGTAAGTGATGCTCATGAACTCTTCCTGCTCCCCTTACATTGCTTTTTCTAAAAGTGAAAGGCATAGATAGGGTGGGTAGGTTGTAAATAATGGCATTCATGTCTGACATCCTGGCAGGGTCAGGTTATCTTGAGTAATCTTGAAAAGCTGACTTTTTTGTTGTTGTTATTGTCAGTTGTGGGGCTTAAACTTAGGGCTTGTATGCTGTCCTTGAGCCTCATTGTGCTCAAGGTTAGTACTCTACCACTTGAGTCACAGCATGACTTATGGTTTTTGAGTGATTAATGAGATAAGAGTCTCATGGGGACTTTTATGCCCGGGCTGGCTTTGAACCACGATCCTCAGATCTCAGCCTCCTGAGTAGCTATGATTATAGTTGTGAGCCACCGGCACTCGGGCAAAGCTGACTTTTTGTTTGCTACATTTTTATATAAGTCCGATCATTAATTCAGTGAGCTGTGGGATTGCGACTCTGAACTTGAAGTCTATGATGGGCTCTCGTGTAGGTCTTCTTAATTGTGCTTCTTGGTAGAAAGTTCTGTAGATGTACCTCATACTTTTCCTAGTTTTCTGATTTCCTCTGCCTCCTCCTCTCCAAGGGGCAAGCCAATAGCAAATTGTCTTTCATTTTGAAAATACCACAGAAAGACCAGTCATGTGGAAACCAGTCAAACCCACAGTAGAGTTTTTGATTCAAGTGGGGTTTCATTTGCTCATACTTCATAATTAGTTTTCTAGTGAGAAGAAATTTGGGGTTTTGTGGTTTTTTTTTCTTTTTTGGTAGTTCAGTCATTTTTATCCTGTAGAATACTGATTTTCTAGCATTACAAAGAAAACTAGTTATGGCTTCTTTTTTCTTGTCTTTGTTTTACTGAGCAGACACCAAGCCGGATGGTTTCCTTTCAGGCAAGAAGGAGGTCAGCAGCAGGCTCCCAATGATGTCAGAGCAAATGACCAGAGGCAGAACGCGAACAATGTAGAGCTGGAGGAGATGGTATGTGTGGCATAATAGACTGTATCATAGTATCATGCCTGTAATCCCTGCTACTCTGGAGGTGGAGCTCTGAGGACCTCAGTTTGATGCCAGCCTGGGCAGGAAAGTCAATGAGACTCTTATCTCTAATTAACCAACAAAAGGACAGAAGTGGAGCTGTGGCTCAAGTGGTAGAGCACCTTGAGCAAAAAATTTCACGGACAAGGCCCAGGTTGAGTTAAAGCCCCCTAACACACACACACACACACACACACACACACACACACACACACACACACACATATACACACACACACACACACACACACACACACACACACACACACACAGTGTATATCTCACACACACAGACACACACAATGTGTATATCTATGTCCATATCTGTGTCTGGCCCAGGTTGAGTTAAAGCCCCCCAATACACACACACACACACACACAATGTGTATATCTATGTCCATATCTGTGTCTGTCCCGATGCCATCAGCCCCTAGACAGGGATATGTGATGAGGGGGCTGGGCTGCTGCATGGTCTGGGCAAGGCTGCTAAGGCGTGCTGGTGCTTTTAGCTGGGAGAAGTCATGTACAGACTTGATCACACCCTGGTGTGTAAGGGGGAGGAGTTGGCAGTGTGAATAATAGTGTTCTGAGGGAGATTGCACATGGTAAGACATTGTATGGTCATGACACCAGCCCCCAGAGTGCCAGGGTCAGGTTCTGCACATGGTAAGACATTGTATGGTCATGACACCAGCCCCCAGAGTGCCAGGGTCAGGTTCATGTTCTCCATCACTGACAGGGAGAGTGTGTCCCATCACAATGGCAGTTAACTCCATTAAACTTAGACACTATGCAATTTTAATGGCTGTGTATCTACATTGTTTACATTTCTCTGCCTCCTCCTGAAAGAACTAGGCTCTGGCTGCAGAATGTGGCTGATGTGGGGTCTCTGAGCATGTGTGTGGCTGGTTGTGGGGGCTGTCTCTGAGCATGGGTGTGGCTGGCAGGGGTCTCTGAGTATGTTTCTGGTCTATTCATAGGAGCGCCTCATGGACGATGGGCAGGAGGATGAGAGTGGAGAAGATGCAGGCGACGATGCCAACGCAGGGCCGAGGCCTGGGCTTGTGGCCTCAGCCTGGTCATTCATCACCACCTTCTTCACCTCACTGATCCCAGAGGGGCCGCCCCAGGTGGCCAATTAGACGTGAAAACAGTGCCAGCCGCCAAGGAGGGTCTGAGTTTAGGAAAGCTGTTTAATAAGAGTGCAATTTCAAAACTGGAAACCTTTCTCTCGACCATCATGTATACAGGCATTCTTTTCTTTGAGCTTCTCAAGCATATGAATATTTTAAGCACAAATGGACTAGTTAGTGTGTGGTTTTGTTTTTTTTTTAAGGTCCTAACACAGCAAGCATAACAGCGTTGGTCTTCCAGGGTGTGTTCCTTTCACTGTGCGTGGTGTGCTCATATAGAGCTCTGCAACTCCTTTCTTTAAAGAGCTGCTTCATCTCTAAATGTCCACAGCTAGGACCCCAGCCCTGCAATGTGTAATTTGAATAAATAGATCTATTTTCTGTGAATTACTCCTGAAAGTTTTAAACAGAATGACCTCATAGTTTTTAATAAAGAATATTATTTACCTAAAATGTGCTAGTAGCATCTTGCCCAGCCATAAAGCAATAAACTTCTCAATAATCTTAATTTTTGACATTTGAATAAAAGATGAAATACTTGGTATTTTATGGACATGTATCCCATCGGTTGGAATTCATACCTTGAAAGAATAAAAGGCAGCTCTTCAGTGGAATTAACAGTGATACAAAAAAAAAGTTTGATACAGGCAGCACTTTTATAAAAATATGCTGGAAATCACTCCCTGTAATTTTTTAAATAAAATGTCACTTACAAATTATAGTAAACAGTGTTACAGGCTATTTGTTCAAAATCATAGCACCCCAGTTTATGTGTAGGAGTCTTCCAAGTCTTGCAGGACCTTGTGGTCTCCTCTATCCTTGGGGACTCCTCTTGGTTCTTGGGTTCCCTGAGCTGGCCCAAACTCTGCACAAGTGATATTAGAGCAAGGACAGGACTGGGGAGAAGGCAGGGACAGCCGTCACTCACTTCTGTCGATGCTGTGGAATTCTTAGGCTCTCAGCACAGGCTGTCCTCAGTGCCTGAGTTGCTTGGAAAGTGAGGTAAGTTGGCTAGCTCCTCCGTACAGGAGCTGTACCAGTGTCACTTGAGCCTGGGAAGGGGCAGCCGTCCATTGTGTGACAGTCTGTGTCACCTGGCAGTGGCAGGTGGCATGTAGAAACACTTGAAGCCATAGCGCTGCTTCTCGAATGCATCCGCGGTGCAGCAATTGCAAGACCATTCGAAGATTGTGGGGCATGGGGTGACTCCACAGGTGTGTCCCAGAGCTCTCACAGGGGCTTGGGGCTGTCTTGGTGGCTAGGATTTGAGGAGCTGGGAAGCTTTTCTTGAGTCTGCTGAGGCTTTGGCCTTTATTCCCTTCCAGGACAAACCCCAGTGGCTGCATCTGCATCTGCCTCTGCTTTACTCATGGGGGTCCCACTCTGGAGTCTTGAGGACCAGTCACAAGTCACATTAAAGCTATCTTCTGAGCTGGACATCAGTGGCTCATGTCTGTAATACTAGCTACTTAGGAGGCTGAGATCTGAGGACTGCAGTTCAAAACCAGCTCAGGTAGGAAAGTCCCTGTGAGACTATCTCCAGTAACCACTCAAAAACCGGAAGTAGCACTGTGGCTCAAGTGGTAGAGCACTAGCCTTGAGCACAGAGGCTCAAGGACAGTGTCCAGGCCAAATTCAAACCCCACAACCAAAAACAAAAAAAAAGAAATTTTCTAATTATGTCTCCACCATCTGACTACCCAACTAGTATGCTTTCCAAAACACCCACACCTGAACTGGGGCATGTGCTGTGGGAAAAGCCACTGGAGGAGCAGGTGTAGGGGTCTCAGGTCTGTACACTCTCACGGGGGCACAGGAGAAGTTACTGTCTGCTACATTGCCAGTTATGTGCTGGTACTTGGTCAGCTAGATGTTTTCTGGGTATAACTGATGCTCAGCTGTAGGTCATTTTTCCATTCCAGGCTAAGCCTATGTCTTTAATATACATATTAAGCCCATTTTAAATGAGAGAATGTGCTGGGAATGTCTGCTGACAGAGCAAGGCCTGTGAATAGTGAGGAATTAGCTGGCCTGGTATTTCTTCCCAGTAAACCACAGTAGCTGGTCATGTCAGGAAATCTAACAGCATTTATTAAATCTTGGCCTGTTTTTGTTTTTGTGTTTTCCAGCTACTTGTCTATGACCTGGCTGTCATATGTGGCTGCACTTCCTACTTTTAGCACTAGGTGGTGCTGTGGCACCACATCTGCAGCAGGCCCTAGGCCAAGGTTACTTCTGAGTTTGATGCTGGCAGTGGGAGGTGTCACCTTACCTTACCCCAGAGGCTGCTGCACCTGAGCTGGGATTTAGGCGGCTGGGACACAGTAGAAGCATAAGAGTCGAGGCTTTAACATTGCATCTGTCTGTACTGCAGTGGGGGAAACCCTGCCTCCACGTAGCACCTCCCCATCCTCTCCTGGTTGCTTCTGGGGACTTCCTGGAGGTGGCAGGGACCCAGCTCCCAGCGTGAGAACCGAGGTACAGCCCAGTAGTCACTAACGGTAAAGCAATCTTAGGAAAACTGCCCTGGAGATACTGTCATCTATCTTTGGCTTTTCAAAAGGGTCATGGTCATAAAAGACTCAGGAACTGCTGCCTCTGTGTCTCTGCTTTGGGGATAAGGAGGAGTCTCAAGGGAACCAGATGCAGGGCTGCCTGAGGATGCCTGTGATTACTACACAGCAGCCTCCTGAATCTTGTCTGGTGGACATCCAGTGGATGGTCCACATGACAGTGCAGTCAGCAGTGCCTCCTGTGCCTTTGAGCACTCCTCCGCGACCTTGTTCCACGGCACCCAGAGAAGGCTCTTCAAATTCTCAGGGAAGCCAAAGCCAGATGGGACTTGGTTAGTTTGCCATCTTATCTTTTTCAAACCTTTTGAAATGATGGTGTTAACATTCTCTTTCACTTACACAGATTGATGCTTCTTAGCCATTTTTACCTCTGAAGAAGAGCCTGGTAGTGGGAGATGAGAGGCGGGAAGGGGGAACGGGACATCAGAGCAGAGCAGTGGGAAATCCTGTTAAAGGGCCCCAAGCAAGGCTACCTCTGCCACCTCCTTTAGGACAAGGATGAAGCCTCACTCACCCAGTCCTCGCCAAAGCAATGGAGAGGAGAAGGTAACTAAAAAAACCTTGCATGCCCTTTAAAAATGTTTTATTTTTATTATCATTATAAAGGTGATGTATAGGGCTGGGAATGTGGCTCAGTGGTAGAGTGCTTGCCTACCATGCATGAAGCCCTGTGTTTGATTCTTCAGTACCACATACACAGAAAAAGCTGAAAGTGGCGCTGTGGCTCCAAGAGGTAGAGTGCTAGCCTTGAGCAAAAGAAACTCAAGCACAGTGTCCAGGCCCTGAGTTCCAAGCCCCAGCCCCAGCACTGGCAAAGAAAAAAAAAAAAGGTGATGTCTAAAGGGGTGACAGTTACCTAAGTCAGGTAAAGAGTACATTTCTTTCTGGACACTGTCACCCCTTCCCTTTCTCTCTCCTGGTTTTTCTCTCCCATCCCCACCCTGTCCTCCTGCTCCTTCCATGGTCCCTCCAGGTCTTCACCTGTTCACTCTCTTCGGTTAAACCTCCATGTTTTAAGCAGGAATGTCTTTAACTTCCTTGCAGTGATTTCTATGTCAGAGTGGAGGAATCTCAGATCACAGACACCAAACAAAAGGACCAGGCAGGAGAGGTGCCAGAAGGACCGAGAAAGGTCCAGATGGATGAATTTCAAGGGGCCTTTTCATCTAATGACAAAGGATTTTGTTGAGATTATTGGTGAACAATTAATTATTCATGGCAGAGACATCCTGAAGACTCCTTTTTGTTTAAAGGCCTCTAAATGATTTAGACAGTTGGGTTAAGCTAGAAAATAATGTGGAGAAAGAGACAAAGAAGGATTTTCATGATAACGACTTTTTCTGATATTTTCAAGATAAATACTAAGACTTGGTAAGTCAGTTATTCCAAAGGTGCCTGGGAAGACCAGATGGAAGCAGGCGGAGAGCTTTGTGGAGACCATAGAAGGTTTATTCAGTTCTGTCATGGTTCCTCTTGGTTCCTTGGTTCCTTTAGGAAGTCCCCTTGAGATGACATGAGGAATTTATCATTTTGCTCCCAACCCTCTCTTCCAGTTCACAGTAGGTGCACACAGGACGGGCGTAGGTTCTATAAATCCCTAGCCTCCTGGGCCACGCTGTCTGAAAATGCCATAAATGGATGTGAGGTTGAAATTTCAATATGGGACCTATTGAAAACACCAAGTCAGAGATGTTGGGTGAAATAGGGAGGTGATGCTTACAGGACGTGTGTCAAATTAATTTAGGGGTTTTTCTCTGTGTTTGTATCCTTAACACGTAGCATAGAGCCTGGCACTTAGCAGGTGCTCAGTCAGTACTTGTTGAGAAGTGCTCAGATCGAAGTGATGAACCAGGGCAGAATATAACTCCAACCAGGAATCCCAGTGGGAGAGATGGGGGAGGGAGGTGGTGTGAGGTGGTACCCTATTGTGGAACTGTTTTCCAGTCTACTTGTGGGCAAGTGAAGGGCCAGGGTGGACTCCTTAGGCCTGGGTAGTGGAATGATAGGGAAGGTGAGGCAGACAGGATGTGCTGGAACTTGTTTTCTGGCTGGGTCCAAGACTGAACCACAGCAGGACTGAAGCATCTCACCATTTGCAGTAACCTCCACCACGTGTAATAATCCACACACTGGTCACATCTATCATCCTAGCTGCTCAGGAGGCTGAAATCTAGAGGACTACAGTTCAAAGCTAACCCATGCAGAAATATCTGTGCAACTCCATTTCCAAACAACCAGCAAAAAGTTGGACTGGAGGCATGGCTCAAGTGGCAGAGTGCCAGGCTTTCCACTGGAGCAGGAAAGAAGGAGCTAATGAACAATACAAACAAAGCAACATGTTATCAAAAGGTATCAACAAATTATCAAAATTATCAAGATAGAAGGGATCCTTGCTATAAGCATAAAGATGTACACACCACGATTTTATTTACAAAAGTCTGCTTTGGTGTTTTTCAGAATCTATCCCATAGAGAAATGGAGTAGTTCTTTATCTTGACATATCTCCAGGCCGAAAATTTTGGGGGCCACTGCCTCACTAATAATAAAATAAAGTTACAAGTGACATAGGGCACCTTCAAGTATCTTTTTTTTTGGGGGGGTCCAGTCATGGGGCTTGAACTCTGGGCCTGGGTGCTGTCCCACAGCTCTTCAGCTCAAGGTTAGCGCTCTACCACTTGAGCCACAGCGCCACTTCCGGCTTTTTTCTTTTTGCTTATGTGGTGCTGAGGAATCGAACCCAGGGCCTCAGGCA